TATCACACATACTTTCGGATATCCGACTGCTGTCACTCTCCGTTGTGGGACCAGGATCTATTCGCTTCATAGAGCTTTGAAGGTCTACCGCTCACTAAGGTGATCACCACGAAAATCTACTTCTCATCCTTACCTGGCCGAGTTGCTATCCCGAAGCTCCAACCATTTCAACCACGGCACCGCTCTATACATGCATCTATAAACAACAGAGACACCTACCCATGGGTAAAGGACTGTCATGGGCCAGGGTACATGACACTGTTACCCTCTCGCTGCAGGACTGCCATCGACTATCGACCGTCAGCTCAGCGGTTCCATATACGAAGCTTCACTAGAACATGGGGCACTCCGCTCTCTCGCAAGTCGGGTATATCGACTTTTCTAAAGAAACAAATATGGAAAACCTATCAAACTACGATAAAATTACCTTACAAACGACGCCACGTTATGCCGTGGCCCACCATACCAAACACCATATAAAAATATCAGCAACAACACTAGCGACAGACATTAAGTATCGAACACTCACCGCGGACTGCTAGTCGGAGTGCTTCAGACAGATATCTACAAACATACATTCGGTCAGAAGCATCAATACCGAGTCCCTAATACTATTACTTACAGTACTCCCGCTTCCATTATTGGGGCAAAAATACCCTCGAGAAATACACCCGATCTCTTCTCCGAGCGAGAACCAGGTCGAAAGAATGATCCAGTTCGACGATTGAAAGGCCGGACTTTTATAACACAGAAAGAAAGACCTTATCTCAACCTCACAATATTCGCCGCTGGGGATGACGAAAGAGAACTCTCTCCATACTACCGTCAACATACGATAGAAAGCCTACAACACCGACAGCGACGGAAATCCCGTCAGAGCCGAATTTCTAGGACAATTCGGGGCAGAACCCGTTCGTCTTATGTTCTGTAAAGACGAACCTTCAGCTGACGACATTGACCTCTCCCCGGACGGGGTGACCTCGATATTTTTCACGTTGCCCGAGTAGGCTACAAGAAGACAAAAGAGCAGAGCGTGCACCTGCGTGAGGGTCGATTTACTTTAGGTAGGGTTTGCTTCAGACTGAGCTGCGTGGTGCTGACAGAGAAAGGGACCTCAACAACCTTCGCAATATCATTGCCACTCGAGTCGATTCCCCTCTACCCGAACCGATCCTACCCGAGTCAGATCATCTTGACTCCACGGCCAAAATGGCGGATCATTCCGGACAGCAGGTGGCCGAGCGCTACATGAGTCGACGCAATAGACCAAGGGACCTAAGCCACGATAGACGAAACGCGTTGATCAAGCCCATCTCCCTCCACTCCCGCTTCGTCCAACCCCATAATATATCCGTCCCCTGTCATCGAGGTGATCTATGGTCGCTGCTCGAATTTTTTTATTTTTATTTTAGAGGTCCAGAATTTTTGAACCAGATGAAACCTGATGCGGAACCAGAGGCGCAGCTTATTCGCCAGCTGGAGTAACAAACTGACAGACTTAGGACCAAGAAATGGTTACACTATTCTCGGTGCATTTAGGAAGAAGATAGTGTCCGGTGTTGACGAGAGATGATCCGTTCGAGGCCATGCAGTTCGAGAGGAACAAGTTGGAGTGCTAGCAACGCCATTACGAGATCCAGATCCGCTTCTGGAACTCCCTGGAGAGCTGTTGGAGCGCTATTCCAATGACAGGAGCAGAGAGAGATTCCCACTGCAAGAGCTAGGGCTGACGACAGTCCTGGCGCAGTTTTTTGGAGGACCCGAGGCAGATGAGGTTGACATTGACGAGAACAGACCCGGCCGTTGGCTAGAGGAGGTCCTTAGTGACGAGGAGGATGGTGATGGAGGGAAAGAAACTTGGTCCAGGCAGGGCGCCGATGTCGAAAACACACGTTTTGCTTGACGTGATCGATACAAGAAGTTCAGCCTGAGTCTATCGACGAACTCGAAACGCTCTGCGACTGCGTGCTTTGCGGCACCGACCAAGGGAATTATATACTGCTCTCGTGGGCCGCCTTCGAATATCGATCCACGGTGCCGTGGGTTGTCGGCTGTAACATCGCTGTCCCAGGAAGCGCGACGGCGGGAGAGGTACAAAATGTAGAGAAAAGAAAGAAAAGAAAGAGGTAAAGGGAAAAGGAAGACGACGGTGGAGATGTCGCCGCCCAAGGACCCAATACCACTTTTTCTGGCTTGAGAAACCCCGGATCCAACTACATGAGGAGCTTCTACGGACTCACTACGAACCAGTCCGTGCAGCCGGAAAATCTCCAGAGTCAGGCTAGGCCAGTGGACACTCCCCAGTTCGCGGTAGGTAGGATCTTACTTTAGATAGACCTACGGAATACTAACATATAAGAAGATAGATGGGAAGAGGAATAAGATGGACCCAAGACGAAGAAGACGACCTTGAGTCAGGCGGAGAGAAACAGGAAGATGGTTCAGGGCTCGGGACAACATGGTCGAGAAGAAATGAACTAGACGAAGACCAGCTTGAGTTGGCGGACCAGCAAGGGGATCAAAAAAAAAAAAGACAAGAGCGGCAACGGGGGGCCCGGACCTGCCCTCGCCGTCCGTCAAAACTGGTCCCTCTGCTCAACCTGGTCTCTCTACTCTGTCCCACTCAAGCTGGACGCGACCTCCGAACAAGAAGCCGAACGCGACAAGGACATGACGACGAACTGGAATATAAACAAGACGAACCAGACTATGAAGCATTGAAGAGAAGAAAAGGTATAAGTTTTCCAGTATACCTACCTCGCTGGGCGCCTCGTACTAGTACTAGCAGCCCAACATCAGACTACACAAGTACACATCTGCTGTGTGTAATAACAATAAAACAAATAACATTTTATAAGAACAGGATTAGCTGCACGCGGGACTACCAGCACCTTATACCTCGTAATACTCTGTATCTACTCCGCGGTTGTCCGCCCGATCCACCACGATTGATACTCCTTTTTTGCCAAGACTTCCGCCCCTTTATCGATAAGGGACCCTCACTCGACTAGTTTTCCAAAAGTTGCACGAGTGTCCTCTTTGCAGATGACTTTGGTATATCGCCATAATTCAGCACCCCCCCGAACTCAACCAACAACCCCCTTCCTCGCACTTGTTGAGGTTCCTCTCACGACTACATCCCGCTTCGACGTCCCCTTGGTCCCCATATTTTTCAAAGGCGTGTCTGGCACCAAAAGGCAGCACAAACCAACTCGCCAATTCATGAGCGCAATCTCAAGGGGGAAAACCACCAGCCGGCCCTCACCCACACACACATAGCACAACAACACACCACCCACCGCGGCCCACCGCACGACATTGATCCAAGATGAAGTTCCTCACATTCTCCCTCCTCATCCCGATCGCCTACCTCTCCATCCTGATCGGCAGCATGGCCACCTTCTCCCACCTATACCGCCAGAGACAAGTGAAGAAGAAACTCCGGCTGGCGCCCTACTTCCCCCCGCACACGACCCGCAACATCTACCTCTCCCTCCTCCACCTGCAAGACGACGGCAGCACCAAAGTGCCCGACTCGGTGCTGCGGGCGGCGCTCCTGGCACGGGCGTGCGACGACATCCGACGCATCATGGAAGTCCGCATGCGGAAGCCCGCGCTGGCCGCGCTGCTGCAACGCGGGGTCGTCGGCGACGAGATCTTCCAGCGGCTGCAGCGCGCCGAGCAGGAACTCGAACTCGAACTCAAGGACGTGGTCGCCGAGGCCAACGCGTTGAGCGGATCGGGCGGTGGGCCGGGCGGCTCGCCGGGCACGTGGGGACAGACCATCTTCCAGAGCGCCAACGAGATGGTGCAGAACCAGATGCTGCGGGAGAAACTGGACGCCATCAAAAAGACCCTGCCGGAGGAGAAGGAGAGGTGGGAGAAGCAGCGGGAGACCGCCAGACGGGAGTTACTGGGCGGCGACGACCCGTCAGGGACCACCAATGCGGGCGGCAAACCCAGCACTACCTCTACTACCTCTACTACCTCCCCTACTCCCGTTCCCGCTCCCGCTCCAGCCTCAGCATCTCCACCAGCAACCCCTGCAGAAAAGACGGTCCCCAAACCCGCCACAGCGAGCAGCGACGAGGACGGCGTCATCGTCGAGACACCCGCCGCCGAAATTCCGACCACCACGGGCAAACAGAAAAAGAAGAAAGGGAAGAAATGAAAAGCAAAATCCAAATCGCGTTTATTATGAGCAGGCCATGCATCCCCGATGATCGGCGCCCGGTTGGGTCCATTGTATGATATTGGTATTTGAATTCTTCCTCATACATCATTCTTTTTTTTTTTCCATCCTCCTTCTCTGGGTCATCCACTTTTCTTCTCGGTCTCTCGGTGGGGCATTAGGTCTGAGGTGTTTATGCGTCTATGCCTCTATTTTAGAGAAGTCTGGAGTTCTTTTTTCCCTACCTAGGTTTTAGGTACCCGTGGAAAAAAGGGGTGGAATAGGGGTGGGAAAAGGGTGTTGAGAGTTATGCTTCGCTCATGGATAGAGCACATGGAGCACATGGAGGGCAATGGAGCACGGGTCTGCATTTCCCATTTTTCCCATTCTAGCAGCAAAGAGCACACGAGCAAGATAGCAAGAGAGGAATGAATAAAGAGATTGAACATCCAGCATCCAGCATCCAGCATTTTCACGTATCGTCTGTGTCTTCGAGGGTTATATCCCTACGAATACAACGCAACAATGTCCATCAGAGAAAAGTCTGAGTGACAGAAGAAAACTCTCTGACGTTGGTGGTGGTGGAGGCAGCGTTGGCCCAGGGTCATGCTGTATATTCGCGCAGTATGGGACAGGGTATGGTCTGGATGTGTATGTACCTCGGTAGGTCTGTACACAGTATGGAGGCAGCAGAGCAAGGGAAAGGAGAAAAACAGTATACCTAGTATCCAATGGGAGGTGACTGATGGCTCTTTTCTAGCCACTAAACTATACAATACATATTCCCATGTCCCTGTCCCTCTGGGCCACAGTGATCATGATATTGTTGTTACAAGGAAACTTCAACGTCGCTCCAGTCACGCTGCGTCAACGCCTCAGCAGGGACGGATGTCCTCATCTGCTCGGCGACCCCTAGAATGTCTTGCACCAGGAGCCCCTCGGCCGCACCTTTCATTCTTTTCTCAATGACGAGGCAGAGAAAGGCAGATAGCACATCGAGCCTGAGCTCTCGTGCGGGCCGACTTTCAATCTGCTCGACCGCCTCCGGATCAACGTCCTTCTCCTGGACCATTTTATCGCCGATGGCGACCACAATCTCGGTCAGAGTCTTGACCGCACTCTGATACTGGAGGTTCTTCTTCATCCGCAGGCCGCGAGCGCGGGCCGAGAGTGGCACGAAGTCGGACGCGAACGAGCGAGCCACCTGCATGATGATCAGCCGGCTAACTTCCTCGTGCGGCACCAGATTGAAAGACTCCCGCAGACCATGCAGCGCGCAGAGGGTGCCATGAGGATCGGACGAGAGGCAGAAGCAGCGTATGACCTGTTCGTACAGTTCATCAGAGAAGTCTGCCTGGACGGCAGATCTTTTTTTGAGGTCAAGCCTGCCGAACCATTCTTGCATCTCTGCGAAGAGCGTTCGCGCATCAGGAAACCCTCCCTGATGTCGATGAGGAAATGCATAATAATGCTTGGCCGTGTCCCAGAGTGCCGCAAACGTCTCAAGATCGGGGGTGATGGATTGCTTCAAGGTCGAATATTTGCTCCAGACATCTGGGATCTGCCCTAAGCGAAGTGAAGCATAAAGCCAATGGTTCATGATGAATGAATTCGGCTTGATCTGAGCCGAACCAGTCATAACGTCGGTGAGATGACTGGCGTTGGCAAGATCTGAACGGCGTGTGTAGTGTTGGAGCAAGATGGAAAATGTCTCGATTGTTGCAGGTGGCGCCCCCCGTTTGAGGAAGAAAGGAATTCGCCGGCTCTCGACTTTGGAGGTCAAATTTGCAGGACTAGGATCGCCGGCCTTTGAAAGCCGCTTCTGAACCACTTCAACCCGGCACTGAATCATGGCCCATGCAGTCTCCTCGGCTTTTTGGCGAGAAGTTGGCGAACCTTGACGGAACCAGGCTGCGATGAGGCCATTCAAGGGCCCGGCATCAGGTTTGATCCCACGCTCATACATGAGGTCGACAACCAGAGCTGCCTTGTCTGTCCTCCCCTCGCCGAGGAGCCATTTGATCCATGCCGCAAAGAAGTATTTGTTGTGGAAGCTGCGGGGGAAAAGCGCCAGGGAAGAGAGCCCGATCTGGCTGACGAGGTCCTCACCCGATGACTGAGATTGACTGGACTCTTTGCTCAGATCCCTGAAAATCCTCAGTGAATCGGTTGGCGACTTGGCTGTAAGCATGAACATATCTTTGAAAACCGCCAGAGCGAGATCAGTACGGCCAGCATCAAGTAGTGCACTACTGACTCGACCCAGAATATCCAACGTCGTCTTTTGGTCTTCTCTGCCCTCGAGCCTCTTCCGCAGCTCCAGATAGCAGAACCAGGTCTTGGACGCAGCCGAGGGACTTTGACTTTTGGCCCAGGCAGAGATAACCATGACAAGAGCTTCGGGATCAATCATTGTCGTGTGGTCATAGCATTCAAATGCCAAACGCTGCGCCTTCTGTGGCTTTCCAAGTTGCACATAGAGCCGGATACCGGTGATCCAGAACAGTTCAGCAAGATCCTCCGCGAGACCCTGACCCAACTTGGGTCTCTGTGCTTCCCACGCTTCTGCCGCAGCGGCGATGTTTCCAGTAGCCTGCAGTGCATCGATATATTCAATCCACTCTTTGTCTCCGAGGGGCACATCTGCCTTCATCATATCCTTGCCCAGCATTTCAAGGTGTTTGGGTCTGTAATAGACCGTACTCTGAGACTTCCAGAGGAAATGCCAGACATCTTCGGGGAGGATCAAGGCAAAGTTTGGAACGTGTTGCTGGCACCGGAGATACCATTTCCACAGGGTGAAATAAGACTTCTCGTCTTTCTTCTGCTGCGCCGAGTCCAACGCCGTGTTGAACCGCCTGACATAGATCTTGTCTCTGATAGGAATGCTGAGGGTGACCTTGAGAGCTGATTTCTGCGTCGTGGCTTGTTTCTTGCCCTCCTCTTCTCTTGCCAGCTCTTCCAAATCTTCCTCGGACACCAGATCGAGATCTTCAGAGGGCATGACACCCTCTTCTTCGAGAGCCTTCAGCAGTTCCTCCCTCTCATTGACGGGGAAGGATCGTATAAACTCGCTGTTGGGTCCGAAGGGCCCTTCTCGCATTACCGCGAGTTCGCGATCCAGTTTGTCCAACTCTGCCTTCAAGGCATGCGTTTCATCGTCGAGGAGGTCACGGACCGGGAGTCTGGTGGACGCATCGTCGCCCTGTTGTTCGAATTCATGTATATCCGCCTGCGCTATGGATGTCGTCGGTGGTTTACGTGGATGAAGGGGACGTGAGCGAGCGGTTTGGCGATACTGTCGGATCGGTTGGAGAGATTGCAGGCAGAGTTGATGGCCCGCAAAACTCGGAGACAGGCAGAATTGTTGGTGCCATCTTCGAGACAGCTGGCAGATGCTGCGCATAGAGAATCTGACGGAGTCTCTGTCTGCACAATGATCTTACACTCGACGGAATGGTATAGTTGGATTTAATAGACTGCGGCGAGGAAAAGTCTCGCAGACACGATCAACTTTTTGCCGAAGATCAACCGGCCCCTTGAGCCTCGTAGCCTCGACTACTATTGACTTATCTCAGAGTACATTTCTTGGGTTTCTATACCTTACAGCGTCGTGAAGGTGGAAAAGAAATACATTGTCACTCAGAAAGGGAAGTTGTCGTTGATTTTGGAGACGAAGGACATGGCCAATTGGTCCCTAATATATGAAATGTCTGTCTGACAGAGTATTTCCCGCAATAAAGTCAAATATTGCACTTGGGTTTCTGTCAGACTAAACCATCTCCTTGCGCGACGCGCCTCAATAGAAGCGCGTCTCGGCTCGATTTTGTAAAAAAGTGATCTGGACCGAACGAAGTGCTGCTGATTCCAGAACCCCCAGATGGACGAAGTATCTCACACGGTAAGGTGGACATAAATCCCTCTCCGGCTATATGCTAATGATTGGTAGACCTGCTACATCTTCAAACCTACCAATCAAGACACCGAAGAGATCGATCCGAGGCCGCAGAAGAGGCGGAAGCTGAGTAGAGTCCCCGCGAAGGATGCTCAAGAAGAGTACTCGTGGCCGCGAGTGCTGGGCGGACAAGAATCTCCGGATGATGCCGGCCTGCGAAGAAGCCAGTTCGAAACAGTATGGGCCGAACAACAAAAAAAGATCCAGGGGATCGTGGATGTGGTTGATGAAGGATTTGTTGGTCCTGTCATGAGATTTGCGCGTTCCCTGAATGCAGACAACCTTCGCACACACAAGAGACTCAAGACGGCGTTGCTTGCCTTGGGCCTAAACACAAATCACCACCACGACCTTCATAAGAGGTGGAAAAGCACGATGCGAGGAGACGCTTCCAGAGAACCGGAAGTACTGGTCACTCTGCAGCCGGCTCACTGCACAAACATTCAGACAGCGTTGAAGAACGTGGTTCGGTCTGCGATTTCTAGTCACCAAGGAGCTGAGAAGTATACCGAGTTCCTCAACGAGCACAAACTCCTGATCCCGATGAACTTCGACCTGGAATTACTTCAGCGGTACGTCCTGCGTTATCACATCGAGCGAGTGGTGATATCCATCATGGACGTCGAAGGGTTCGACACGTCCATCTTTGCGGAACTGGTCTCGACCTTTCACTCGTGGTCAGACAGGATTCCATTCATTCTTTTTGTTGGGATATCGACTACTGTGGAACTCTTCGAGTCTCGGTTATCTAGACAGACGGTCTCGATGCTCGACGCCGAAATCTTTGCGACGAGTCCGGATTTCAATCTAGAGGATCGCCTGTTTGACTTGTACGAGGCCATACAGCATGATCAGACCGCAGAAGTGTTTCTCGGTCCGTCAGTCGTCAACGAGCTGGCCACTTTGGCAGAAGACCAAGGCACCACCCCGGCGACATTTGCTCGTGCCATCAAGTATGCTCACATGTCTCATTTCTTCGCGAATCCCCTCTCGAGATTGTCCACCGAGGCCACTACGAAATCGCCATGGAGCCCGGTACTGTGCCAGGCCATCCGCAACCTCGCCAGCTTCAGGTCTCACTGCGAAGCGCTGGCAAAAGGCGACAAGACCGAGCGGGAGACCGTGCGCCGCCTGCTTGTGTCTGACGACGAACTTCAGAGGGTCGTTGTCGGAGCGATCGAGTCAGGGAAACGAGTCATGCGTTCAGGCCTGTCCGCCATCTCCACTCTGAGATACATATACCACTGCACGCTCAAATTGGAGTCGTACAGTCGCTGGGAGAGCGAGAACCATCTTCTGCAATCCCTACCAGACCTGACACAATCGGAGGTTTTCGAGGCCATTGAGGACAACCTCCAAAATCTTTCGTCTGAGGTGTCAGCCACACAACTTCTTAAAGGCTCCGTCCCAGAACTGCAGGATCTACACGACTACCAGCGGTCTTGCGTAGAACCAGGGGCAGAGACGGGGACAGATGCGAGCCCCTCGGAAGCCGAAAAGTTCATCAACCTCCTACGCCGATACCTCGAGAGCCGCACATCGTCCTCTTCCCCCGAACACCATCTCATCAGTCCCTTCCGCCACTTCATGGCCGAGGCGTACACCATGGCGCAAAAGTCCCCTCTCGCCCAGACCATGCATCCGCGTCCGCGGTATTGCCTCGAACGCGCCCTGACTCGACCCGCAGACTATCTCGGATGCTCATGCTGTACGCCTCAGAGTTCAGGCGAAGCACACGCCGCCACTAGAGGTGACGTGCCCGACAAGGCCAGCCTCCCGCCCACGAGCCTGTTGCTGAACATGCTCAACGAAGCCGGCACGGTGGTCAACGTGCGGGACCTGTGGGACGCGTTCCGCGACACGCTCTCACACGGCACGGAATCGGCTTCGCCAGACGCAGACAGAGATGGACTTGACGATGATAATGACGGCAATGACGATGACGAAGACGGTGGCGACGACAAGAGCAACGATGAGAGACGGACTCTAGCCCTGTTCTACCGCGCCCTAGCCGACCTGCGGTACCTGGGACTGATCCGGCAAAGCAAGCGCAAGCCCGGGGTAGAATGCATTGCGAAGACGGCATGGATGGGACTTTGACAGCACAATCGGCTTCCCTTTGTAAAAGGAGATATAGCTCTCCCTTTCCCCTCTTTCAAAAAAAAGGGGGCCTCGTCATCCTCCTCCACCTTCTCCTCCCGCCCTTAGGGGACTGTGCTACCATAGGTAGGTAGGTAGTATTAGGTACCGAGACACTTACGCACCTACACACCTACACCGCACACTCCATCTCATACCCCGGTACCGGTTTGAGTCTTTCATTCGATTTCAGGGCTGAGGGATATGAACTCGGTATAGAGAGAGAGAGAGAGAGAGAGATCCATATATCCGTACACATGAATATCCGTATAAATGAATAAACTGTATGTAGGTGGCTTACATATATATTTTGATGTTCACGGCCAACCAGGACCGCAAATTGTTTTTGCATATGTAGTACCCAACGAATGGCATGACATGGCATGAAGGAGCAGAACTTATTCACTGGTTCATATCCACTCACTCACTCACTCACTTTAGGTAGGTAGGTAGGTATTCGATGACATAAAACATCTAACATTGAAAATTCCGCCAAATCTTCCTTTCAAAAAGGGGCCCAGAACTGAATAGCTGGGCCCTATATACCAAAAACGCCCCGATGCTAATGTCAGTATCAATGCCGATAATGCAACAATCCATCCCTGAGTCTGTCCCATTGTCCCATTGTCCCAGCGGGTTGGTGAGTGTCGTCACAACAATATCAAACTAATACAGCCAGCCATTCGATGCCCATCCAAGTGTCTCCGTATATGTAGGTCCTTCGAACCGCAGACCGGATTGCGCTGCCAAATCCATTCCACCCGTCGCTTGACCTGGAAACAAAAAAGAAAAGTCTGTTCCTCGTAGCCCCCTCCGCCACATGCATGATCTCATCCAAGTCATAAGACAAAACGGCAACACGAAACGTGCTTGACAAACGCCAACTAACCAGCAACACCTGTCGTCGTACGTACAGCAACCCTTCAGCAATGGCATAACAAATCAGCGTGGGACATAGGGGTATGATCAACAATAAATGAAAAAAGAAAAAAGAACCGACGCGATCTAATTGTCGTAACCGTCAAGAGAGTATCAGAGCTGCAGGGAAGCAAGTGCGCGCACACAGTATCAGAAAGAAGAGTCTCTCTGATTCTCTAGATGGCGCCCTTGGGGTGAGCATAGACACAGCGGTCGCAGAACGCGTGCTGACAGTCTGACATCATACAGAATTTGCTCAGGCCATAGGCGTAGGATGCGTCGCACTGACAGCAGGTGACGACCGTGGCAAAAGCTTTACGTGGCAGATGGTGCCGTCGACCAGAGGTCGGGTTCCGAGTTTGACTGTGGTCGAGTGTATCGGACGTTCGAGAGACTGCTGTCGTGCCATGGGTTTGACCCATACTTGATGTTTTCTGCTGAGTGCTGTGGGGATCAACGGCATGCTTTGAGGAAGGCTGGTAGGTTGGCGATCGGCCGCTCTGTTGGGAAGCCGAAGATTGAGAACCACAGGAGGGCGTCTGTGAGGCATCTGCGATATCTTCGTCCTCTTCAGCTGTGATACCTTGGCTCTGCTTCCTCTCCTCAGATAGTGCTCCCTTGGTCTTTCCATTACCTGTGAGTTCGACCCACTCCTTGCTTGACTTGTTCTCTTTCATGAAGTGATTGGCAATGTGACCGAAGCGGAACGCGATGGCATCTGTATCAGTCTGCGGGTGTATAACGATATCCTTGCAGAATCCACACCAGAATCGACCCTGATGGTTGCGTGATACTCGGCGTTGCGGGGCCAGTTCCTCGGGTCGTGGAATCGAATGGGCTTCCTGCATATGCGTGACGAAGTGTGATGAATCATGAAAAAAGACACGAAAACATAGATGACAATGCCAACACTCTTGTTGTTCGTGTTGGTTCCGCTCGTGCCTCTTCCAATCATCTTTACTGCCAAAGGTTTTGGTGCATCCGTCGTAGACACAACCGTATGGCTTCTGATGCCGTTTCATGTGCTTGTTTAGCTCACTTTGCCTGGGCATCACCTTTTCGCATCCCTCATAGTGGCACCGAAACTGCGTCGGCCTTGTCGCAGGCGATCGCATGCTTCCAGAAAGCCCGGCGTCGGTGGTCCTCGACTGCGGCCCCACAGATGAGGCAGCGTAACTCGTCAAGGCATCGCTGCCGTGTAATGACAAGCGGAATTGAGTCAAAATCTCCTCATCGGAGCGCAATTCATTTCCTCCTTTGGAGCGATGACGTTCTAAAAAGGAGTGGATTTCCTCTTCCATCGCCTTCTGGAGCTCAGACTTGGACGAATTCTCGAGTGCGGATATGTTGACTTGGTAGCTTTGG